GGGGGGGTCCAGCGGGGGCTCTGCCGCAGCCCCCCCGCCCCGCTCCCCCCGTCCCGCTCGGGGACTCGGTGGCCGCGGCCACCTCCCCCTCCCCCGGGGGACTTTGGCCGGCGGCGGGTTCGTGGCGTCTGCGGCCGCCCCCGGGGGGGGGGGGGGGGCCCCCGGGCCCCGACCCCCCCCCCCCAACCCAGCCTGCCTCTCTCCCCCCCCACCACTTTGACACGGGGGAAGTGGGGGGGGCCACGCTGAGCCCGCCCCGCTCGTGACACAGGTGGCTGAGTCCGCGCGGAGGGACCGACCGATCCGGGGGGCTCGGAGCGGGTTTTGGGGGGGCTGCCGCGTGCCTTGACTCCCCCTTTCCCCCTCCTCCAGACCCCCGGCGCGCCGAGGATGATCGGGGGGGACCCAAGAGCCCCCCAAGAGCCCAGGGTGAGTGGCCGGGGGGGGGTGCCCTCCCCGTCGCACCAGCGAGGCGCGAATTTTTGGGGTTTCCTGTTTTTCTGCGGTGCATGATGGGGAGCGGGGCCGGGGGGGGGCACAGCCGGGGCGGGGGGCACAGCCTGGGGGGGCTGAGCTATGGGGTCCCCCCGCTGAGTGCTGGGGGGGCTGCTCCCCTGGGCGACCCCCAGCACGGCACATTTGGGGGTCGGGGAGGGCGAGGGGGGGTCCGGACACCTCGGTCCTTCTTTGTGGGGGACAGGGGCTCCCCGGGCGGGGGGGGGGGGGGTTTGGGGGGGCGGTTCGGGGGGGGGGGGGGGCCACGGGCACGGCCGGGTGTGGGAGCAGCCGCCGCCGCCGCACGGAGCAGCCGCTCATTTATTATTGATCTGCGTATCTGGTGTCGGGCCGAGCGCGGCCCCGCCGGCCCCCCCCGGACCCTTCACAGCCCCCCCCCGGCACCTCTGGGTGACACACACCTTGGGGAGGGGTCCGGGGTGGGGAGGGGGGGGGGGGGGGGGGGGGGGCCCGGGGTTTCCATGACCACGAGGCTGCGTTTTCCCGGGAAAACTGATAAATAGCGGTGCGTGCAGGCGTGGTGCGGGGACGGGGGGGGGGGGGGTGTCCGCTCAGCACCCCCAGACCCCGCCGCTGAGGTCCTGGTGTCCCCCCAGGGCGCTGGGAGCTGAGCTGGGGGGTCCCCTCGCCCCCCCCCCTCCAAGATGTCCTACTTCACCGAGCACTTCTGGGTAAGCCTGGACCCCCCACCCTTGGGTGCCTCCCTGCCTCGGGTGCCCCCCCACCCCCTGGACCCACTGCAGGGCCCCCCCCCACCCTGGGGAGAGGTTGGTTTCAGGGCCTGACACCTTTGTTAACGCTGCAAATTAACTGAGGGGGGGACGATGGGTGGGGGTGCCCGGGGGTCTCACTGGGGTCTCCTGGCTGCGGTGCCACCCCTGCCCCCCCTCCCCTCCCCTCCCTGGGGATCCCCGGCCCTCCCGGGTGCCCTGGGCAGGGGGAAGTCTCGTGGCCGGTGCTTCCTGGTTGGTCTCTGCCGGGCTCTGGCAGCTGCCGGCACCTTCCTCTTCCTCCTGCCTCAGTTTCCCCCCGTGGTGCCACCTGCACCCCCAGCCCGGCTGGGATAGGGGGGGAACCACCCCCACAGGGTGGGGGGCACCCAAAATAACCCCGGGTAATGCCGGGGTTCAGCCCAGCCCTTCCTGCCTCTGCTCCCCGGGGATCATCCGGGCGTCCCCGGGGGCATCTGGGGAAGGGTGGGGGGCTCAGCACCCCCCTGTGCACCCCAAATGGTGCTTCCCGGTGGTGGCACCGTCCTGGGAGAGGGGGAATGTGGGTGGGGGTCCCACCCCATGGGGTGCTGGGAGCTGATGTCCCCTGGCAGGGCGAGAAGAACCACGGCTTCGACGTGCTCTACCACAACATGAAGCACGGGCAGATCTCCACCAAGGAGCTGGCTGACTTCGTCCGGGAGAGGTACCGGGGCGGGGGGGGGTCACCGTGGGGGTGGGCAGAGGGGGGTCCCCGGGATCACCGGCTGCACCCCCAGAGCCCCCTCCCCGCCGTCCCCAGGGCCGCCATCGAGGAGAACTACGCCAAGGCCATGGTGAAGCTGTCGAAGATGGCCACCAACGGGACCCAGCTGGGGTACGAGGGGGGTCTGGAGCACCTCGGGGTGACAGGGGGGACCCCGCTGATCCTTCCCACGCCCCCCCCCCCCATCCCCCCCAGGACTTTCGCGCCGCTGTGGGAGGTTTTCCGCATCTCCTCGGACAAGCTGGCCCTGTGCCACCTGGAGCTGATGAAGAAGCTGCACGACCTCATCAAGGAGATCTCCCGCTACGGGGAGGAGCAAGGCCGGGTGCACAAGAAGGTACTGCCCTGTCGTCCCCCCCCCCCCCCCCCCCCCC